GAAAGACCTTGCGCACTCTGGACAGTCATACGTAGCACTGGCATTTTTCTTCAACAACTCGGTGATTTTCTTTTTGGCTGTGTTCCGACCCGTTACTCCTGCTGTTGTTGTTGTTGTTATTTGAGTTGCTGACTGACTGTTGTTTTTTAGATCGCATGTTCGTCGATGAAATAGGACAAAAGTTGCTTCCGCTTGTGAAAAGTTCTGCTCAAGTCTTGGCTATTGAACAGCGAAAATCGCAGGTCTCTATCTCATTCCTATCAAAAGTTATTCAAAAAGTGGCACCCAGCACTGTATTTTGGTATGGATAGTAGTATGAATACAAAATAGAAAGTAACAGACGTATTCTTAAATTATAGTAGTAAAAAGAAAGATAAATCCCTTGTGTGCATATGAATACATACATGTATAAATATAGTAGTAATGAAGTATACAGCCTAAAAAGACTGAAGAAAAGGAGTACAGATAGAAAGTGATGTCAACCGGCTCTTATTTTATCCTTTTTATTCACAGAGGTATTGTGCAAAGGCTGATTTTGTTGTTAGCTACAGAAATAAGAAGGAAGTTAAGTTAGGGCTTTTCTCGTAAATTCTACAACTTTGCACAGAAAGATCGTGTAGAGCTCGGAGAGGTCTCATTTTAATCAGAAATCTTGGTTCAATTCTTACAGCTCAATTCCTTCTTCAATCTTGGTTTTGGTATCAAAAGACCAATAGGAAGTAGAGAAATGCCTGTTCTAAAAACCGGCGGACTCTGTGGAGTATAAAGCACTCTCTTATAATAATTTGTTTTTAGTTGAAGAACATGCCTGTTTATAATGTGTTTGCTTCTTGTTGATAATGCACTTATCATAAAGTTTCTGTTTTATCATTGCTAAATTCATTTTTTATTTTATTTTATTAGCTAATTTTAATCTGAGCTTTCGAATCGTTGATGCATCATCAGCGTTAAAAAATATTAAAATTTAAAACAGTTAAAACTGCACAATCAATAAAACTATAGACGTTAGAAATTTTTAAAGTTATTGTTTTGCGAACTACTTTTCGTTTTCCATATACATGTAATGTATATATAAATCTATACATTTACGTGATAACCTGTACAAGAGAACTGTAAAGCTAAGCAGAGAAAAAAGAGAGAAAGAAGGAAAAGAAGAAAAAAGAATGTACCAAGTCTTGAAATTTTATTATCTGCCCAGATAAACATTATAAACTTACAACTAAAAATGAAATATAGTTGACAATGGAATGACTTTTTCGTATATTTAACTTATTAGCATGGTTTTTCTTTTTCTTTTCACATGAGACCGATGACTGAATGGAAGACAATCTTCAGGGAAAACATACAAGTGTAGTGATCTATCTGTGCCGTTAAACTGTGGTTTATTTGTACGAATAGCTACAGATTCTCTTACCAGTAATCGATAAGGTCTGTGATCTCTAACTAATATCTTAACATTATTGAAATTAATAGAATGGCCTGTTTGAATCACAGATTTACTTAATGCCGATTTAGGTTGAAATTCAGCTTCTGTTCTATTTGAATTATGCGATGATTTATTTTGAGTAACTACTGCTTTACGACAATATATAAATTTATTATCTTCATGTTGAAATTCTTTTCTCCCTTGTAATGAAATTTTTTCTAATTTAGCAATATTTTCACATATAATAAGTACAGCTCGACGTTGGTCTATTGAATTTTCAATATTTAATAATACACCTTGGCCAAATGGTACGGAATTTCCTTTTTCTCGTCTTCTGTGCCTCTTATCCCGGCAAAGAAGCAACGTTTATCAATGAAATTTATACCAATGATGGATATTAGGGAGTTCTACTACCAAAAATGATTTGAGCTTGATTGAACAAGCAGATCAAACGTTATACTCGAAATAGAGGCCGGTACGGAATTTAAAAAAATGGAAGTGTTTTTCGGCGTATTTCAGTAAAATGCAAATTATTCAGCCTCAAGTTAATTTTAGAATGATTGCTTAGTTACAAAATTAAAGCTCACAGTTTGGGCAATCAGAATCATTACTGACTTTTTCTTGAATTAGTTCCTTGACGTTACGGAATTTCACCGTTTTTTGTTCTTCTTTGCAGAAGGTTTAATATATATTTTTTCTGTCACAGAACCACTTAGCAAGCTCTGAATTGCACATAGATAGATAGTTTGAGGTGTCCTTCATCCCATGCAGCCAAAAATAAATTTTCAAAGTTAGATTAAATGGGCATAAAATTGTTCACAAAATAAGCGCTAAAACGTTTTCAGAAAATCAAAAAAATATTTTCCCATCCAAACATGAAAACAAACGAGGCATTTTGTAGAGAATTCGATTCTCTGTCCGATGGTACAGTTTTCGAAATTTTTGGAAAAAATATCTAGATCAGGAAATTGAATTTAAAATTTAAATTTTCGTATAAAAATTTAACTTTAATTTGTTTTTGAGTGCAGATTCGTAATCAGCGCGAAAAACTGCGTCTAATTTTTAATGCTTAAACTTTTAAGCATTAGTCAAGTTAAAACAAAAATTCGAACCGTCGCATCCAAAGGTGGACCGTCAGCTGGCTACGCCGATTAATTCATTATTTTGAATATTTTTTATTAGATCTGATTCTTGTATTTTATAAAGTTTTAAAGATATCAATTATAATTTCATTTATATCATCGAATTCTTTTTTTAATTGATTTATTTTTATTTCATACATTTCTTTTTCATGAGAATATTTATCATTGTTATCATAATCTTTCTGAGTTTGTATTTTTATATTTAAAAGTGTATTTTTCATTTCTTTAAATGTTTTCATAGGTTTATCTATACTACTCTTTTTTTCTAATTCATCATTAAATTGATTAGCAGTCTTTTCTATTTTTAATTTTAATATTTTATAATATTCTTCTAATCAAATTTTATTTTTATTTATTTATTCCATTATTTTTTAATTCCATTTTTTCATTTAGTCTATATCTTCAATTATTTTTTCATAACATTCGTTTTCACTACTACTAGGTTGTATTAGATTAACCTAGGCTAGGTTACGAAAAACATTAATAGATTAGGTTGGGTTTGGGTTGTGAAAATTTTTAGCTCTGACCTGTATCTAATATTAAGTTTTACTAATTATTTTTTATTTTAAAATGACACTTATTTCCAATAATACTCTAGCATCAATTAAGCCATCCGGTTTTTATTCATCTTGTAATAGGGGTGGCAGACCATTATGTCTAAGTCAGTCATTATTACCTATCTATGATGTTACTACTGATCTTTCAATGCGTTGCAGTATTAAAGGTTTAACTGAAAATATTCAAGCAAATGGTGCAGATATTGATGTGTGTATCGATATAAGAATATTATCGAAACATATCTAGTCACTGTGAAGCTGTTTGAAAAATCGTGTATACATGAATTAATATTCATTTTATGAACACTCCCGATCGATTTTGCTGCTATATATTCAATGACGAGTTTAAAATTAATTTAAACTGGTGTTACAAAAGAATCATTTGCTCTATCACCGTACGATTGATATTCGTTAAAAGTCTCGTGTCATACAGTATTAGCCATTGGACAGCCGATCCAACACCGCTAAATATATTGATTTATTCATAAATACCTACGAGTACACACATTGCTGTATTCGTTTGTGTTACGTCATTATTTCAACTCTTAAACGCAAAATCATTTCAATGGTAAGATGCACCCAGGGCAGCCTTGCAGTGAAATTTATTTTTCGACACTTCATACACCATTCGATAGAGAATTT